GGTTCTCAGTCTGTGTTTTTGGACGTCATTACGAAAGAAATAAGTCCAGCCTCACTTATATGTGGTTGGCTGGAGGTCAAGCATGTTCTCACCGGTGGCACTGCCCCAAGTTGCTCCCTGCGCATCCTCATCATCATGTCATAAACCATCTTCGCTGTCTTCCCCTTCCCCTTCACGTGGGGAATCAGTCCAAAGACCGACTGCAATTCAGCAAAGAAACATCCACCAAGTAATCCCCCCAAATCCTTGTCAGCTTAGTGGTCAGTACTAGTCACCATTGATCTGTGATTGCTCCGTGGTCAGTGGTGTCGACTGTTGATAGTTGTATGATGCTCACCTTTTCATCAGTTGCATTTTATCAGGCAGGATAGCAGCCTTCCATGATGGTACCCCCTGGACACCTCTCAGCACAGCCCCCTATTAAGTCCCTTTTATGCCCTACACCGGTCAGGTTCAGCCAAACAAAGGGGTTCATGACAATTATTTCGAAATACTGTAAACAGCTATGTTACCAGGCGCACCCAGCCATCTGGTGGCCTGGGATCCAACACTTTTTTCCTTTGGTTTGTGGTGGCCCTGGTAGGACATCTCTGCATCCACCAAGTTCTGCCCGAATGCAGGTTCTTTTACGTTTTCTTAGGTGGTTAGCAAAATTTGGTGGGGGAGGGCTGCGATGGGAGGTTGGGGGAGAAGGGGTGGGCAATGGAGGAATGATCGTCATCATCACCATCAGGGTTGCCTGAGTTTGGGCCGCGCCGAAGAAGACGGCCTGAACGACCACACATTCGGGACCCGTTTGGCCAGCCTTCGGCCGAATGTGACCTTGAACGATTTTTTCTTTTTTTCTATGGTTTTTTTTTTTTTTTTTTTTTTTTTTTTTTTTTTTTTTTTTTTTTGTGGAGAGGGGCCTCTCTTTGGGAAAAGAATAAATAACTCATATGGGCAGGATAGCCGCCTTCCATGCTGGTATCCCCTCCAAACTCGCCTGCCGAATGGCTAGAAGCCCCCTCCCGCCAAAGGCCATGTGTGTGTGTGTGTGGGTGGGTGGGTGTGTGCATGTGTGTGTGTGTTTTAGATTTTCTCCACAACAGCCCCAATTCCACCCAGGTGAATAAATTCAGAATCAAAGCAGTCTTTGTCCTATTGCAGACATCGAGAGCATTTGAGATGTCCAACATATTAAAGCAATTTTATAATTAGACAGTTTTTTGGTTGTCCTTGGGGTACCCCTTTCATTGTTCTTGCAGCTCCCCTTTTACTGTGCCTCTTACGCACAAGGCTGCCCAGGTTGATTGTGGTTGAGCGGCAGCTGCCCACATCCCTGTGTGCCTTCACGGCCCACTTGTTATGATTCTGGTTGCCTGTTGTCTGAAGACCAACGCTCACTCACATAGACTCTTGCCCATACATACGCAGAAGGAAGGGGAGAGGATAGGAGTATCAAACCGCACAGGGAGAGATAAACACAGCGGAAGACTTGACCATGCGATATGACATGGTACACTGAAAGCGCAATTCACTCCACTCAATCCTCACAACCAGTCATAAAGGAAAGCCGAGTAGATCACATCCAGGAAACAATGAAACGATGATAGTCCAAACCCAGTATCACACTGTTTATTAAACTCAGAGTCTCGAATTGTCAGGATAACCTCAGAACTACAGTGCACTGCTCAGAAGTGAGCAGCGCTTCACCCCCCAACCCTGAGTTACCACTCGTAACACCCCCGAGCCCCTGAAACATCAAGCGCCACCCTAGTACTGCCTCCAGAGGACACCGCCACCCTGAAACAGGCCTCTGAGGCCGGGTGGAAGCCGGCAGCAGCGCCACCACTCCTGACAAGATGACCTCTGAGGAAGAAGCTGCAGCTATGGCTGCAGCGCCACAACCCTGTGACCCCACTCCGTAGGAGGGTCCAGCAGGGCACCAACTTCTCTCGCCTTCAGCAGACCTCAATAACCCAGACCTCTGACAGCCCCGCGTGCTGGCAGAGGACAGCGCAGGCCCCAGCTATGGCCGGCGCTCCGAACGTCTGGCTATGTCTGTCTCCCACAACACTGAGCCGTCACCACGTAGAGCAGCAGCGATGTACTCGGTACCAATTGCCAAAAGCCCTGAACCGATGTGCACATCCTATCTATAGTCTAAAGTAGCCTAGACCCGACCTAGACCGGACTGACTGACCGACCGGTACTGATTCTGTTTCGGCCTCTCGGCCTCTACCTTACCCGGCTATTAGGCTATAGGACCGTCTATCAGCATAGGCCTTTAGGGCCTGTCTGCCCGAGGGGTAGCCCGGGTCTGCTATTCGCAGTTAGGGTAGCTGTAGGAAATTCAGTTAGCATGAGCCTTTAGTTTCCCGAATTCACAGATATGTCCCTTACGAATTTTCCTTACAGGCAGGTCACTTGGTTAACCCTCAGCCAAACAAAATTGTGAATCTAACCTAAGATAACCAGACCGCGGCAAGCCCCGAGCTTCACCCTTGGCCCAATATACAGTCCACTGAGAATCTGCAGGCTTCATTACACACTTGCACGCTATTTCAGGAGGCAGAGTAAAAGTGCAGGTATGCTCCTGTGCAACTCTTCAGAACTTCGTACTCCTGTTTATTTCACTTCAGATCTTCAGATTATACAGTCTTTGTGTCCRTCCTTCATCTTCATACTTCCGTTCATTTCATTTCTGATCTTCGTATCGTCTGTTCTCTTAATGATATGCTCATTCATATGCATTTGTTAGCAGTACAAAGGGAGTGGAAGGGAGGGTGGAGGGTAAGGGGTAGAAGGAGGAGTTCTATAGGAGTATGGGGCAGGGGAGGTAGGGGCAACGGGAAGGAAAGAAATATGTGGAGGGCAGGATAGAGTCCGACATGCAAAGAGCAGGGGAGAGGTGTACGGCGGGCTTCACAGATTTCTAAATATTCACCACTGAAACAGACTACTCTAGCAAAAAAAACTATGGCTGAGTGGGCACCCCTACAGACCGGACAGGACCGGTTCGGGTGTGGGCTATGGAAGCACCGCATCCAATTTTCGCAGTCACAGGTGCTGCATCGAATGGCACGGCGCAGACAGATGTCACAGGCTACGTGGCTCATACATGCTAGGAACACAGAGGCACGTCGACCGCAATTATTGAGGGATTGCCGTTCCAGCCCCTGTCTACAAATTGGACAGGACATGTCAGGGTGCCGTACATGAGTACAGTACTGACTGTCATCGTACGTATGGAAGCAAAAACTCGCATGGACTATACCTTCATAATCCTCACGGCACAAGGCATGCAAGCCACATGCTAGTTGAATCTCCAGTGGGTCATCACAAAAGGGCATGGAGCATCTATCTTGGGCTTCCTCAGTATGTATTCCTTCTCTACGGGCAGACGACGACAGGGAGGATCGGTCCAACGCAAGGGCGTTCAGCTGGTGCAGGAGCTGCTGCAGGATATGATCCGCAACAGCTCGCCCTGGTGGTGATAAACTATGAGCACATCGTTCTGCCGGTGGTTCATATAGAAGTCTATTTTCCTCCTTGGACTGCTGTGTTCGTCGTTCATCTGGCAAGAAAGAGGGAGATCCGTCAGTGGTTGCCGTAGGTGTATGACCAACACCACATGTGGGACATGTGCAATAACCCATGCCATATGTCTCGTGGAAAAACTCAGGGCCAATTCGACCGCCCTCAGCCCAGGCCGAAACAGGGGCAAAAGACCCCACACGAGGACTCTGGGCTTGGACGTGCGGTAGTTGACTTTCGTCAACTGCCAGGATCCCAACAGTCAAAGTCCAAAGGTACCTAGCCCAGGCCACTGGTCAAGCACACACACTTGTTTGTATGCACGTACCCAGACAGCATCAGCTCCAAGGGAGAAGTCTGCAACTGCACAATCCGGGCCCTCAGCTGTGAGTCAATCTGGACGACTGTGGGGAAAACACCCCAGGCCAGACAGCCTCGACAAATGCTACTTAAGGCTGGCCTCGAGGGAGTCAAGCATTCAGTCTTGCTATGCTGCTTTGACGCTGGCTCGACTTTGACTAGACGCTGGCTTTATGCTGTAGCGACGCTGGCTATACGCTGGCTGTGCGCCGGCGTTGCGGACGACAGCACGAGGTGGAGGCAGCATGCTGGCGCTTTCTGCATTGTGTGCCAGAATTGCTGAGGTGCATGTTGACGTGGTGCTACCTCGGGTCTACATTGCATGCTGATGTGGCGCTACCTCTCGTCTACATTGCATGCTGACGTGGCGCTACCTCGGGTCTACATTGCATGCTGATGTGGCACTACCTCTCGTCTACTTCAAGGTCTTCACGAGATCAAGTGCCACGTGGCACTATTGTGTGTGATCAGGAATATACTTCTTATCATTATTGATGTGGATAGGGAAGAAGCCCAGAGAAGGAGAGGGGTCTGAAGGGATTACTGTGTGATCTTTCATCTTCTGCTTTGTTTGTTCCCCCTCCACTCTCTCCTCCTTTTGATGGTAATAAGTTACTGTTTGAGTTATCACTTCACGATCTGGACGCTTTGACGCAGATGATGAGACTACTGATGTTTGACGACTTCTGAGTATCTGCCAGACTGGGTTCATTGCACATGCTAGGAGAGGATGTGGAGGGTGATGGCACCGGGGATAGTCCACGCAGTAAGGACACATAGGGTTCATTGCACATGCTAGGAGAGGATGTGGAGGGTGATGGCACCGGGGATAGTCCACGCAGTAAGGACACATACTTTCTATGACAGCTTCCTGGAAGCATTGACGACACATGGCATGTTGCTGACATGCAATTAGTATGGAAGGCTGACGTGCACAGTTATTTAAGCATGGCAGATCAAGGCCACAACGGCATGCTGGGCAAGTAATCAGGGCAACAGCTCACCCTGGTGGTGATAAACTATGCGCACATTGCTCTGCCGGTGGTTCATATAGAAGTCTGTTTTCCTCCTCGGACTGCTGTGTTCGTCGTTCGTCTGGCAAGAAAGAGGGAGATCCGTCAGCGGTTGCCGTAGGTGTATGACCAACACCGCATGTGGGACATGCTAGGAGAGGACGTGGAGGGTGATGGCACGGGGGATAGTCCACGCAGTAAAGACATATACTTTCTATGACAGCTTCCTGGAAGCATTGACGACACATGGCATGTTGCTGACATGTGATGTGTACAGTTATTTAAGCATGGCAGATCAAGGCCACTTG